TTAAATATTCTATGTTCTCTATCTAGTTATGATAAATTTATAAATTACTATGTATGTGTTTTTATCGTTGCATTGTACCTTAGTAGTTTCTTAATATGTATTTACTTGAAACCTAACTTAAACTATAACTGCTATTGTTGTATTCCTTCTGTGACATCAGGAATCGATATTATGGCTTCCAAATTTTGATCATATTAGATGCTGTATTTTTTTATTCATGTGTTAAGTTGAAATAGTGCCTATCTTATCTTTTTTTTTCTAAATTTTCCACTTATTACTTTATTCAAAAATATGTTCCAAGTCCTAGATTATATCTTAGTTACTACAGTGACATAAATAGTCACTTCAACCTGCACTAAGGCACTGGTAGTATAGGTCTATGAAAAAGAGTGTTTATAATTAAACTACCCAAACCGGTATGTTAAAGTACAAAAAATATTTAAAGTAACAACTTACAAATATTATTGTGATAGAGTTTTTATATAATTTAGAATGTGTTTAGTGTCACTAGTATATGTTTGTTAAGGGAATATTTTTTCATGATCGATAAAAACTATATAAAAATATATATTTATTACTAATATATGCATGAGTACTTGTTATACTAGTATATTTAATTCAAATTTAAAACTATAGAACTAGGTAATTTGGAATTATATATGATGTACTTGATGGTTATTTACTTCTTTTTCATCATAGATTATATATTGGTGGTTTAGACGTAAATTTGAGGGTCATTTCAATTTAATCATGTTTTAGGCCTAGTTTGTTGTGGCTCCTGCTTGTGGTTTTTGGTGTCGGAGCCAGAGCCCATCCAGAGCCCATCGAGTTTGGTTTTTGCCGCTCCACCTCTATATCTCAAAACAGCCTTGGCTCCGACTCCATGTATTTAGCGCCAAAAGCACTTCTTTTGGTGAACTCGTTTGGTGTGGCTCTGCTCGCTCCGGTGCGAGAGCCACACCAAGCAGGTCTTTATAAGAATATTTGTGAGTAATTTAGATGTAAATACAAATATGTCTATGTGGTAGCTCGTGTTTTAGTCCTTTCTTGTTCTCGTTTCTTTTTTGAGTTGGCTTCTATTCATTTAGTCCAGTATATGAGAAAAGACAGCAAATTAGCAGCTAGCTATGACCAGTGGAAAAAAATCGACGGTCAGAGCTCGAAACCGTAATGCCTATCCCCAAATTGGGAACAATCCAACAGACAGACGAAGTTTTCCTCCGGTACGGTCAAGGTCAAGCGGCTTGATCCTGTCTTCACAAAAGGTTGGAAAACACGGTTGCACTCGCACTAGTAGCCATGTGAAACCACCATATGCTCCTCGTCCGATTCGCCGCGAATTAAACTTGGCACGCGAGACACTTCCAGCCGCCTTCCTGGCCTGTATACAATTCCTCGCCGCCGGCCGCCGCTCGGCACCCATACGCTGCACATGCTGTATACGACGTCCATCGTCTATCCGCCGACGGCTACGGACCACTCACTATACGTAGCCGCCGGCATGGCCCACTGCCCGCCCCCGGCGCCCGGCGCCCAATCGGCAGCGGCCAGCGCGCCCGCGCGTGCCTCATCCATCGGACTCGCAACTCGCAAGCAGCCAGCAACCAAGCAAAAAAACAAAGGTTTCTGGCCCATCCCATGTATACGTACTCCGTAGAATATACTAGGTTTCCGCTAGTGCGCGACCTTTACCTGATCGCCATCAACATCATGCGGCACTGCACAATCCATGAATCCAAAGTTCCACTTCCGCGTGTTCAGCTCTTGGCTGCGGCTTGAGTTTGACACGTTCAATTTTTCTGACTCGGAACGCTGGGACCCGTCGTGCTATACGATCCCTGCCATGTACGAACGCGACTTCCCAGACTACTGATCCAGTAGTAGGAGTGTGAAGTTACCAACTCCATGTTGTTCCGTTCTTCATCCATCCCAGGCCTATAAATACTCACACTCGTGCATCGACCTCGCCACACCGCATCACAAAGCGCAACAACAGCCAGAGACAAGCAAACAAGCCAAGCCTTTACTACGATCTGAATCGATCTAGAGCATCTCGATCCCCCGAACTTTGTAGTAGTTGCTGTCCGCGCGTGCCTTTGAGGTCGAGGACGTAATGGCGCCCGTGTATGCTGCCGCGGACCACGGCACCAACGGCTCCGGCTCCGGCCTGACCCTGAACCCGGTGGCGGTGGCGCAGCGGGCCCTCAGCCTCGTCGGCGCGTCCACGCCGCTGTCGTCCACGCCGCCGGCGTACGGGAACATCGTCACCGTGCTGAGCATCGACGGCGGTAGCAAAAATGTGATGGACCGTGGACGTTCGGCCAACTGGGGCTGCGCAGATAAACTAGAGCCAAAGGACAGAAGCACTTTGCATAAACAAAAGGCAAAACGGACAGACACCCTAGCCGGCGGCAAGCCAGGGCTGCTAATCTACACTTATCTCTGTTTTTTTTTAACCGAGCAGACAACAGCCACATGCGACAGCCGAACTAAACAGAACAAGGGTTGACTCCCAAGAACGACAACGCCTTTTTTTCTGCATCAGGAGGCCGTCTAATCCGAATTATACTAAACATAAAACCAAGATTAATCCAGTAGGAAGCATCTTACTACAATCCTCAAAGAAAAAAAAACAATGAAAACAAAAACTATTTGAGGTGTGTGTACACGAGCTTGATTCCAATTTGATCTAGACGCACTTACCCAAAACCGAAGAACCCAACTAAATGAAACTAAAATTTTCGGTTTCAACTTAGGTTTTCAATAGTAGCTAACTGATTTTTTTTCTAGCTATTACTTTGGCTTCATGCCGGTTAACCATGTCACCAAAGTGTGCTCAACAAGACAATATTAGTCCGAACTTAGTGGAGAAAACAAAAACCTAAATATCCTTCATCGATATTCCAGAATCAGACACCTTTTCCCCCAACTCCATGAACCCTTGAACAACAACCTAACCCCTCAAACCTACTATAGGTGTGGGTGTCTAATGGGCGCCTCCTCCTTGTACCACTCTGATGGCTAACGGCAGCAACACCTAGTGGTAGTCTATAGTTCTGTTTGGAGATTACTTTATGTTATATTTTACAATAACAAATTAAAAAGAGGTATAAATGTGAATTTATAATTGTTTTTACATTATCTTTAATAATTACATGATGGATAGGTTGGATGTAGAGGGGATAATTTGTGCACATTTAGTGAATTATTCCTAACCTTACAAAAATGATAGCGCTGACTAGTTTGTATCTGCATTCAAGGTTATTTTAGTTCAATTTCCACAATGGTTGAGGTGGATAATTTAGAAACAAATTATGTCCTATGACTATCGTTGTCAGTCTACATAGAGTTAGATGGTGTGATATTTTGTTTTTTTAGAAATTTCTTGGCTTACCTTTTTTAGACTTTTTTTTTTTTTTCTAGAACTAACCCATGAACCCATGCTCCTGCACATCTGGAATATTACATTTATATAAATAATGCTAAAAGTTCAGTGGATAAATTTGATACGTACAAATAATTAATTTTGTTTGTATTCATTTGCTAGCACAATATATATTTAAATATTCTATGTTCTCTATCTAGTTATGATAAATTTATAAATTACTATGTCTGTGTTTTTATCGTTGCATTGTACCTTAGTAGTTTCTTAATATGTATTTACTTGAAACCTAACTTAAACTATAACTGCTATTGTTGTATTCCTTCTGTGACATCAGGAATCGATATTATGGCTTCCAAATTTTGATCATATTAGATGCTGTATTTTTTTATTCATGTGTTAAGTTGAAATAGTGCCTATCTTATCTTTTTTTCTAAATTTTCCACTTATTACTTTATTCAAAAATATGTTCCAAGTCCTAGATTATATCTTAGTTACTACAGTGACATAAATAGTCACTTCAACCTGCACTAAGGCACTGGTAGTATAGGTCTATGAAAAAGAGTGTTCATAATTAAACTACCCAAACTGGTATGTTAAAGTACAAAAAATATTTAAAGTAATAACTTACAAATATTGTTGTGATAGAGTTTTTATATAATTTAGAATGTGTTTAGTGTCACTAGTATATGTTTCTTAAGGGAATATTTTTTCATGATCGATAAAAACTATATAAAAATATATATTTATTACTAATGTATGCATGAGTACTTGTTATACTAGTATATTTAATTCAAATTTAAAACTATAGAACTAGGTAATTTGGAATTAAACTAGGCACGCGAGACACTTCCAGCCGCCTTCCTGGCCTGTATACAATTCCTCGCCGCCGGCCGCCGCTCGACACCCATACGCTGCACATGCTGTATACGACGTCCATCGTCTATCCGCCGACAGCTAAGGACCACTCACTATACGTAGCCGCCGGCATGGCCCGCCGCCCGCCCCCGGCGCCCGCCGTCCAATCGGCAGCGGCCAGCGCGCCCGCGTGTGCCTCATCCATCGGAGTCGCAACTCGCAACTCGCAAGCAGCCAGCAACCAAGCAAAAAAACAAAGGTTTCTGGCCCATCCCATGTATACGTACTCCGTAGAATATACTAGGTTTCCGCTGGTGCGCGACCTTGACCTGATCGCCATCAACATCATGCGGCACTGCACAATCCATGAATCCAAAGTTCCACTTCCTTGTGCTCGGCTCTTGGCTGCGGCTTGAGTTTGACACGTTCAATTTTTCTGACTCGGAACGCTGCTGGGACCCGTCGTGCTATACGATCCCTGCCATGTACGAACGCGACTTCCCAGACTACTGATCCAGTAGTACGTAGTAGGAGTGTGAAGGTACCAACTCCATGTTGTTCCGTTCTTCATCCATCCCAGGCCTATAAATACTCACACTCGTGCATCGACCTCGCCACACCGCATCACAAAGCGCAACAACAGCCAGAGACAAGCAAACAAGCCAAGCCTTTACTACGATCTGAATCGATCTAGAGCATCTCGATCCCCCGAACTTTGTAGTAGTTGCTGTCCGCGCGTGCCTTTGAGGTCGAGGAGGTAATGGAGCCCGTGTATGCTGCCGCGGACCACGGCACCAACGGCTCCGGCTCCGGCCTGACCCTGAACCCGGCGGCGGTGGCGCAGCGGGCGCTCAGCCTCGTCGGCGCGTCCACGCCGCTGTCGTCCACGCCGCCGGCGTACGGGAACATCGTCACCGTGCTGAGCATCGACGGCGGTGGCGTGCGCGGGATCATTCCCGGCACCATCCTCGGCTTCCTCGAGGAGAAGCTGCAGGAGTTCGACGAGCGACCGGACGCGAGGCTCGCGGACTACTTCGACGTGATCGCAGGGACGAGCACCGGCGGGCTGGTGACCGCCATGCTCACGGCGCCAAACAAGGACGGCCGCCCGCTGTTTGCCGCCAAGGATATCAACGACTTCTACCTCAAGCACTGCCCCAAGATCTTCCCACCCAACAGCAGCGGCGGTCCTCTGGGATTGTTCAAGAAGTTGTCGGGGCCCAAGTACGACGGCAAGTACCTCCACTCCCTCGTCCGGGAGCTCCTCGGCGAGACGAGGGTCAGCCAGGCGCTCCAGAACATCATCATCCCCACCTTCGACATCAAGCTCTTGCAGCCCACCGTCTTCTCCAAATACGATGTACGTCCGTGCACAAGTTAGAGACACTTGCATGGTTGAAGCTTTCGCCGTCCTAACGCTCCAGTGACTCACGCAGGCCATTAACGATGTCTCCAAGGACGCTCTGCTCTCCGACGTGTGCATCAGCACGTCCGCCGCGCCGACGTACCTCCCAGGGCACCAGTTCGAGACCAAGGACAAGGACGGCAAGCCCCGGGTCTTCAACCTCATCGATGGAGGCGTCGCAGCTAACAATCCGGTGAGTGACTGAGTGACCACACAACTAACGTGCCTCGGCGGCAACAAACACGTACGAGGTGACGAGTGACGACGAACGCACTTAGCTACAAACTAAATGTGCACCAAAGCTTGACAAATTTTGCAGTGCACTGTCAACGTCATGGAGTAAAAACAAGAATCACCAACCGTTGAATTTAGAGTTCTAGACTTAATGTTCAGTTGACTTCTCCTATGAACTGTTATCGATCGAGCCATCGAGGCTGACGAAACGTGCACCAAACCTGACAAATTTTGTATGCAGACGCTGCTGGCGATGACGGACGTGAGCAAGCAGATCCTGCTGGGCAACCAGGACTTCTTCCCGATCAAGCCGGCGGACTACGGCAAGTTCATGGTGCTGTCCCTGGGCACCGGCTCCGCCAAGGTGGATGAGAAGTTCGACGCCGTGCAGTCCAGCAAGTGGGGCCTCCTGGGGTGGCTCAACAACAAGGACACCACGCCGATCATCGACAGCTTCAGCCAGGCCAGCGCCGACCTCGTCGACATCCACGCCTCCGTGCTCTTCCAGGCGCTGCACTCGGAGAGGCAGTACCTGCGGATCCAGGACGACAAGCTCACGGGAGAGATGTCGTCCGTCGACGTGTCCACCGTGGAGAACCTGAACCGCCTCGTCGACGTCGGCAAGGGGCTGCTGAAGAAGCCGGCGTGCAAGGTGAACATCGAAACGGGCAAGAACGAGCCCGACGCCCACAGAGGCACCACCAATGGGGATGAACTCGTACGTTTTGCCAAGATGCTGGTACGGGAGCGCCGGGCCAGGCTGCAGAAAAAAGGCAACGACAACACACTCTAAACATGCATGGAGATATAGAGGCCGGCCGGATAGTTGTGTCAAATATGTGTAGAAAGTGTACTACATGCGATAGCTAAGCGGCATGTGTTCTGCAATCCATTCGTTTATACTCACCCTAAAATTTGCATGGTTTAAAAATAGAAGAAAATATTTAATTATGTATTTTGGGAGCATTTAAATTTAGAAAAATAATAACTTTGTTAAAATTAAAATCAAATATAGGTCTACATACATGTATGTGCATACATGATTCTGCATATTTATTTTATGATACTTGGGTTTGATCAAAATTTGCAAAAGAATTGAATTAGAGTTTGAATTGGATTTGAAATGAGGTGTAAGAAAATGGAAAAGGAGTTGTATGATTTTTCTCCCCCTTCTCTGCTTTCAGCCCGAACAGCCCAGCTCGGCCTGGTTTCCTACGCGGCCCGCTTTCCCCGCGTGGCCTGCTCTCTTTCTCCGCAGCGGCCCAGCAGCGTCGCCCGCGCTCTCCTCTCTCCCGCCGTGTCTCGCTGACGAGCCGGTCCTGCTGTGTCCGCGTGCGTCTCTTCTTCTTCCAGCCAGGTATGCGGCACGACCGCTCCGCCGGCTTGAAAAAAGTCCGTGGCCGCCACGCCTCGCCTTTACCTTGCGCCCCAAGCTACTCCTGGCCATAAATACCGGGTGTCCGCGGCCGTGCCTCCCCAACCCAAGCTTCAAAGCTGCCTCGCTGAGACGCCGAGCCACGCTAGCCCTAGCCGCCGCCACCGAGCTCAATCTGCCGAAGCTGGCCGCTTCCATCCGCTCCGCGCCTTGGTAAGTTACCTAGCTGAGCTCGCCGTCATCTCCTCTATCTCCCGATGCCCTTGGTTTGCTATTTCATGGTTCGTACACCGTATTCCATGAGCGCCGCCCATCTCTGGCCATGGCGCCGTCCGTCGGGGCTCACCGCCGACCTCGCCGGCATTTCTTTCCCCTCCCGATCTAATCTCCACCCTCCGTTTAAGATCTGATGGCCCAGATTCAAAGATAGCTCTTCGGTGGGCAAACTTTTAAAAGAGCCCCTCAGTTTTATCTAAATAGAACCCGCCGTCCCTGCAATTTTGTTAAAGAGCCCCTATATTTCTTCGTTTTCATGGCCGCAATACCTGTTTCGGTTTAAAATCCGATTTTATTAATTTAAATTCAAAGATACCTCTTCGGTGGGCAAACTTTTAAAAGAGCCCCTCAGTTTTATCTAAATAGAACCCGCCGTCCCTGCAATTTTGTTAAAGAGCCCCTATATTTCTTCGTTTTCATGGCCGCAGTCCCTGTTTCGGTTTAAAATCCGATTTTATTAATTTAAATTCAAAGATACCTCTTCGGTGGGCAAACTTTTAAAAGAGCCCCTCAGTTTTATCTAAATAGAACCCGCCGTCCATGCAATTTTGTTAAAGAGCCCCTGTATTTCTTCGTTTTCATGGCCGCAGTCCCTGTTTTGGTTTAAAATCCGATTTTAGTAATTTAAATTCTAAAATCAAGTTTCATCTATTTACAGTTTTGCCACTAATCTGGTTTTAGCCATAAAATCTTTGTTTTTACTCCGATTTGATCCATTCAAGTTGTGTTAGGTTCGTAATTGCGTAATCTATATGTTCATACTACTGTTAAGTATATTTTTAACTTTTAAAATTTGAGGTTAGATTTAATCTATTATTTTATTAAACGAAATCTTGTTTAATTCATAACTTCTTCGTTTTAGCTCTGATTTTTGTGATCTTCGCGTCTGTGTGTTCGTAGCAAGATGTAAAATCATTTTACAAACTTTTCATCTTGATTTTATGCTGTTGGTGTACTGTTCTAATCTATAGCTTTTGTTTGCTATGCATGATTGTTTTTGGATGTTTGTATGTTGCTGTGATTAAGAGTACTACTTTGACGAATCGGGTATAGGACAGTCTCTATTCTTATGTGTATAGCCGTGATGGAATTATGCCATTCGATAGGGGAGTTCTTATATCTGTTTGCTGAGTGAATCTAATGGCCCTAACTTGTTAGACGGGCCCAATTGGGATGTTTGGGGCGTCCAGCTGCATCTGCATTTCTTCATCAGTAGCAGCCACTTGCATAAGTTTCTCCTCAAGAGGGTTCAGAACATAAACCTCACCATGGGACTGGAGAAGATGTTGCTCCAGCATAATGCCTTGTTGACCATCTTCATTTTCCCCTGGCGCTGGGTTATAGATCACTGGGTGCAGATCTTGGTTAATATCCTGATCAGGAGCAGGCATGTTCAGATTTAACTATTCCTACTGATCAATGACTGGAGCTTCATTCAAATCTTGAGCTAAAAGTGGCTCCTCTTGAATGGGCTACTGTTGGGCTTGCATCTGAACTGGCCAGGGATCCCATGCATCTTGCTACTGGTTGTCATTCTGCTCATCCTGCTCATTGGGCCCATGGACTGGCTGACCCAGACCAAAGAAATCAAAAGGAACTCCTGCTTCTATGTCCACATCATCAGGAATCGGATCTTCGACAGGGGGCCCTGTTGCTGCTGTGGGTGATGCTAAAAGAATTCACACTGGATTGTCTAGGACTCACCATCAACAGTGTCAGGGTCCGTATAGACAATAAACCATGGCACCTTTTCTAGATCAGTAACCCTAGCACTTACAAGCAAACGGCAGCGAAAACGATCATCTGCTTCCCAAAGTAGTACTCTGACAAACTCCCCCACCACACTATGGATGTGCCTCTCTGTCCAATAATCATTTGGCAGGCCCAGCAAAAGTAATCAACACTCATGATTGAACATAGCCCTGCACCAATTGCGGCCCTCGTTGTGCTTGCAGAAAGAGACTATGACATCTCCGAATGGAAGAGGACTTTCTGCAATAAGAGTGTCCCGATCATAAGCATGATGGAAGCAGACCAGAGTTTGACCCAAATGGGTTGGTTGAATATCATGGAAAGCAATAGGGCGCTCAAATCGCAAGAAGTCACTGAGGACAGCTCTTACCGCCGCAAACTGCATCTCATTGGCCGGCATTGGATTCAAGGTGACGATGGTGAGGTCTTCATTCCTCGCCGGGGGCCTCGATGGAGCAACGGCACGGACCATAAACACCCGATTGGGGATGTCCTCGTGCTGCATTCCTTTGGGGACGAAGGGAGCAGGGTTAGCACACTGATAGGCCATGGCCTCAGTAGTGATGGAAGCAACGGAGGTGAGATGGGGCTGAGAAAGAAGAGGGTTTTCTGGTGGCACTGTTGCCATGCTTGGAAAGGTACGGCAGGAAGATGAAGAGGCAAGCGTCCAAGCGATGGGATCAATAGCAATAGGAGAAGGAGAAACCGAGGTGGGCTTCAACTATGCCGGAGGAGTGGGCTCCCAAGGCCAAGGAACAATAATTGGCGTAGTAGACTTGCCATCGGCCCATTTCGGAAATGAGGGGAGAGACTTGAACAGTTCCCTAAATGAACCAAACACAGGCAGCAACGAAGCCGAGGGCCTGTGAATATGAAGGGCAGCCGCCTTGGTCATAACTATGGAAGATTGCAATTGCTGGGCCACAGATTTTTTCCGCTGGTCACGCTCGGGGTGAGCATGACAGAGCGCAACAACATGTCCCTAGCCCATGCACGCATGACACCGGATAGGTTGGTAGAATTGACCCTGGGATGACCCTCCTCGAGGCACCGCGGACAAGGGACAGCCGATCTAGGAGGATCGGTGCGCGATTGGTGAGACGAAGCCCTACCACTGGGCCCATTGAACGGAGGCCGGGCAGTGGCTGAGCGCCGGGGGAATTGAAGGCGGTCCTTAATTGATTTTGAAATTCAAGGTTTGCCAAGGGGCTCGGCATTCGTGTCGGACAGAGGAAGGGATTTGACAGCATCAGCAAAAAATTTCTTAGTAACGGAGCCTGGGACATCCGTCTAGGAAATCCGCTCTTCCTCCTGGAACAAACGAAGCTCCGCACGCCAGTTTTGGCCACCATTTCCCCAAAGGTGGAAGAAGAGAGAGAATTGATCGCAAGAAAAAGAACGCAAATTGTGAACGAAGAACCCCACCGGCTTGGAGAAGACGAAGAACTTGAAGGTTTGATCACCAAGTGAAGAAACTTTGAAATGGGGGCAGAGCCACCAATGGTGGCCTGGAGGATGCAAGCAACAGATTCAGGGCACAGCCTGAACTTGCACCTTCCAAAGGAGACCACCATGACAAACGAGCCAGGACCAACATTCGGCCAAGAAATGGGTCTTTGTAGAAGATTCCAAACATCCGCCTGGACCATACGCCCGGTTCAAAGGAGAGCCCAGGCAGGTTGACGGACAAAGGCGGCGGGGGTACTGCCATGGGAGGCACACAGGGAACAAGCGAGAGGGAGGGCGGTAGGACTCACCAGAACACTTTAGCTCCTCATCACGCACTACATCGTTCCAACTAGAAGAAAAGTTGCAATACCTGACGCAGGAAGAGTCGCCAGAGGGCCTAGAGCAAGCAACATGCCGCAGCAGCAAGTGGCGGATCTATGATTGGGACAAAGGAGGGGCTGAACAAAGAAGATTTAGGACTAAAGCTAAAAATTAAAGGTGAATTCACACTAAGCTACAGTAATTAATGAATGATTAATGCCTCAGTAAGACAGCCCCATCAGAGAGATGTCGGCACCGGCGCACCATGGCTACCACCAGCCCATCGGCAAAACGACGGTGGAGCTCCTCATGTCGCGTCGCAGTAGCGAAAGACCGACGGCAGAACATCGATATTAGAGGGGGGGCTAGCAAGTGTCGATGAGCGCCGGAGGGGGGGGATCATGAAGAAATTGGTGCCTGTGTGGGGGCGGGTGACCACCGGCGAGGGGGTGGGCGGGAGGAGCTGCGCTTTGGTGGTGAGCTTTGGAAAGTTTTTCTTGACACCCTCCTCCATGACAAGTAATTTTGTTGAGTAATCTGTTACTCCCCTGTGTGAACACACGGCAGGGAAAGGCGGCGCTGAAAAAGCCCCTGTTGTGGTACTGTAGCCGCTGCAGGGG